GGTCAATACGCAACAGCATAGTGTATTTCACAAAGCAAAAAATTGAACATAAATTCAAATCATATAACCAATTCTAAGTTCTTTGACTACAGTTATTCGGTGTCAGAAACCTATTATGTGTCAAATATTTAATTACAATCCAAATTTAGACCTGTATCAAGCGCAAATATTGTGTCCATTTTCGCCCCAACTGTTCAGGGTTGGACCTCTGCGGTCATATCCAGCTGCGCTCAGCAAAGCATTTTATTCTTATTTCAGGACAATAACTTGTGTATACGTGTAATTGCAATGAAATTGTACCATTAGGTTCAATACTTCAAACGGGATGTTGAGGTTGATTTGAGGGGGATTATGGCCCAAACTGTTTAGAAATTAGGGTCGAAAAAATATGGATTATCTGGTTTCTGGACAATAACTTGAGTATGAGTCAATAGATCTCTATGAAATTGTACCACAAAGTTCCATTCCAAAAAAGAAGGTTTCGGATTGATTTCGGGGGTGATGGCCCTAACCGTTTAGGAATTAGGGGCCAAAAATAATTAATTGTCTAATACTTTGTATAAATTGCTTATTTCTTGACTAATTTTTAAGGGGCTTTTAATTCAAAGTCTTGAATTCTCAGGGTACCTTTATATGCTGAAATAACCATGTTTTTAGATTTTGGGCCCCATTTTAAAATTGGTCCACAGTGAGGTTCAAAGGGTCTAAAATTAACCTTTTTTTGATTTCATCAAAACTTTAAATATTTGGGTTCTTTGATATGCTACATCTAACTGTGTATTTAGCTTATTAATTTTGGGCCTCATTTTCAAATTGGTCCACATTAAGGTCCAAAGGGTCAGTTTCATTTTAACAAAAATTGAATTCTTGAGGTTCTTTGATATGCTGAATCTTAACATGTATTTAGATTTTTGATTTTGGGCTCAGTTTTTAAGTTAATCCAAATTGGGGTCCAAAATTAAACTTTGTTTGATTTCAACAAAAATTGAATAAATGCTATGATATGCCAAATCTAACCGAGTATTTAGATTTTGAATTTTTGGGCCCCGTTATCAAATTGGTTCACATTGAGGTCCAAAGGGTACAAAATTAAACTCAGTTTTTTCAACAAAAAATTGAATTCTTGGGGTTCTTTGATATGCTGAATCTATTATTATAAGATTTTGGATATTGGGCCATAATACGTAAATGTCCAATTTCAAAATTTTAAGTATTAGACCACATTCATTCTGTGTCAAATATTTAATCACAATCCAAATTCAGAACGCTGTATCAAGCTTAATACTTGCCCCAACTGTTCAGGGTTTGACCTCTGCAGTCATATCAAACTGAACCCTGTGAACCTCTTGATTGGCTGCTATCATGAAAAATAAAGGAGCAAGGATCAGTGTTAATTGTCAAAGTACTCAGCACAAGTTCTATTAACACTGTAAATTTAAGAAAAATCCAACGACCTATTTTTTGAGTTATTGTCCCTGAAATATAATTTTTTGCCTCAAATTTGCTGAGTCTAACAAGTGTGAATTAGGTAGCTGTTTCTGCTGGCATTAACAATATAAGTTTGTGATTAACCAGTTTATCGGCAACCACTAGTGGTAGGTCGATGGTATTTGGTATACAGTTGAATTAGCAATGGTACATCTCATTTCCATAGAGATTATTTGTTTCCACTCCCTCAGTCATGGTCAATCGACTTTAAAACTTTTGCTTAGTGTACATGTATTAGTTTGTGATTAGATCAGTTAAAGTGGAACCACTAGTGGTATGGCTATGATATTCTGTATGCAGATCTATTACCATTGGTACATCGCATTTCCATTGTGATTATGTGGCTCAGCCCCACTGTCATGGTCTATTGACTTTGAATGTTTTGCATTTTTGGCTGTTATCTTATTAAGTGTGTACATGCTGAAATGTCTTGCCTGCTTCACTTTCCATGAGTGAATTTATGTTGAAAGTTTGTAATATGAAAGTATCACATACACTTATTATTAATGATTCATGAAAATGAGGTCAAGGTCAGATGAAACATATGAAACAGACATGTACACCTTACAATCATTCCATACACCAAATATAGTGGTCCTTTTGCTTATAGCCCCTTAGAAATAAGACCAAACCATAACAAGAGGCTGTCGGAGTGACAGCAAACCGGATTTTCCTGCAGAAGTCGAACCCTGAACTGTTGAGCAAGTATGGATACAACATTTAAGCTTAAAACAGCTCTGAATTTGGATTGTGATTGAATATTTGACACAGCATAGGTTTGTGACACAAAATGAATGTGGTCAAAGAATATTATATTGTCTTGGAAGTTACAAAAATGCTTATTTTTGGCCCCTTTTTGGCCCCTAATTCCTTAACTCTTGGTACCATAACCCCCAAAATCAATCCCAACCTTCCTTTCGTGGTATTGAACCTTATGGTAAAATTTCAAGGAGATCCATTCACTTAAACTAAAGTTAGAGTGCGAAAAACCAATGTGTCTTCGGACGACGCCGGACGACGACGACGACCACGCCAACGTCATAACAATATACGACCAAAAAATTTTTAATTTTTGCGGTCGTATAAAAAGGAATTCGCTTCATCAAAAAAAATATATAGCCTTCAGAAAATAAGTTTATACAAAATAACAAAACAAACCTACCACAAAATTCTTCAATTTACCAAAGAAAAGAAAGAAAAAAAATCCAAAATGTCATTTATCATTAATACAATATCTATTAAAAATCTATAAAACTTATCTGTAATTATCTTAAAAATGTCTAATAATGAACAGTAAATTTCAAACTTTATTTATTCTGTCCTACAGATCTTATCATCATTAACACTTAGGAAACAGAAAATTTTCAAATAAATCAGTCACTCTAATTATAATTGTGTGATAAGATATTTACCAGATGCTTTGTTATCTGATAACAGGTGAAAATTATTTAAAAACACTTAGTGTAATCAAACTTTATATATATAATTTATAGTTCCCAATATTTTTTCTTTCATTTGTCACAAACTAATATAGATCTGCAACTTATCTATCAATGTCAACAATTTTATCTACACAATTTAAACCATTGTGGTGACGTCAGCCTATTCATTTACCGTGGATTCTTTTTCTAGAATCAACGCTTCCTAAATCTGGCGCTGAAATTGACTCACCAAATTATTTTCAATTGTTTCCTTTGTGTGCCTTATTTCATTAAGTTTGAATTGGCTAATTTACTGATTTCTGTTCACTAATGGAATTAATTTAAAAACTTACCTTTAATTTTTTTAATTTTTATATGCCTTCACTGGGAATCGAACCCTTCCTTGAAATCTGTTATGTGTGACTGACATCAACACATCGACGAAACCTCTCGGCTACCAATGGGTTACACTATAGATGTCTATTTTATATATTTAAATGAACATCTGATATACAACAGTTCATCGGACACACAGGGCTTGTACCTTTATATAGACAAAATAGGCAGTCGTATAGTATGAGTTGGTAGCCGCGACGTTAGCATGGTTTAAATCAATGAGTTAAAGATAGGGATTTGACGGTTTAGGTTCGAATCCCTGTATTCTCTCTGTTGTTCCAATTCTTAAGTTATCCTGTTTTTTTTTCTAAATTTGCATGTTATAGTGGATATTTTTGTAATAATAGCGAGTTTTACCGGTTTTTTTTTTATATTATCATTGTTTATTTCACATGTTTGAAACAAAAATGATAACATTCTATTTGTCAGTTTTTGTTTTATAAATATAGTTTGATTTCATCTGTTTTACTACATAATTTTACAAAGGTTTGTTCAAAAATTCCTATGCGAGAAAATCGTGATGTGCCTAGAGTGCTAGAAAAATTTCGATAACATACTTATTATATATACTTTATATATGCTTTTTGGTCGGGTTGTTGTCTCTTTGACACGTTCCCCATTTCCATTTTCAATTTTATTAGAAATAATTTCGAATATGTCTTATTTTGTATAAACAGATAATATTCATATGCATGGTAATATAAAGATCTTTAAAGGTAGAAGTGTTATATTTGTATTTTGTTAACCAATTAATTGTGATCTGAGATTTATCAATGCATCGTTGGACACGATAACATGGTTATTTAAACTCACTTACAATACCTTCTGATTAAGAAAAGGCTTTAATTTTGAAAAGAAATTAACACAATAGTTTAAGTTATAGATACAATGGATAAGCGTAGATTCGTGAAAAACAAACCATTCGCCCTCCGGGCTCATGGTTTCTTTTTCAAGAATCCACGCTTATCCATTGTATCTATATAACGTAATGTAATGAAATATATCCTTTAATAAAAATAGATTATTATCTAATGAAAATGATATATGCAAATCACTATTTCTGTTCAAAGGAAAATAACTCAATCATATAATAAGTATAACTTTTGGCTACTAAAAGATCGACAACTCAGCATAAAATTTTCGTCAAAGCATTTGCATGTTTATGAACGGACATTGTCTGGCAGCTGCCTGCCTTCCCGTCCGCCCGCCGTACATCCCCAAACCAATTACCGATTTTTCATTTGAAAATCCGGTTAAAAGTTTAACATTGACCGATGGACCATGTAAAGAGGTCAATGTTATATGCTCATAGTATCTGATAAACTGAAAAACCATCAAAACATAACATTGACTAATGAACCATGAAAATGAGATCAATGATATATCAACCCTACCAGACAGACATGTACACCTTACAACCATTAAAAAATTGGCTGTATCACAGCACTGATAATGCTTTCATTTTAAATCTCCTGATTAGATCTAGATTAAACCTGGTCATGATCTTACAAAGTGTATGAAAAAGATGACTGCCACTGTTGTCAATGGTTTTAATGTTGCATATCTTAACCATGTTGCGATTCAGATTTCTTGGAGCATAAAGTATAAAGAATTGTCTGAATTATCTATATTTGCTGATATTTTTCTTGCATTTGTGCAAAATGATTAGGAGGACAAAATTAAAAACAAACAATGTTACAAAAAATATTTTATTAAAAACTTAACAGCCTCCCTAGCATTCACAATATACATTTCCACATAAATCCCACAAATTGTTTACGGATGACATTTTAGTTCAGAATAAGACTTTAATGGTTGATTCAACTGGTTTTAATATATTTTTTTTATTGTAAAACTACTAGATTTCAAAGAGCTTTCTATAATACATATACAATAAAGTTTGAATATAAACATATTTTCAGAAAATTAATATTAAATTTCTTATACATAATTTTGTTTTTTAGCCATTACAAATAAAACATATATTTTCAGACAATATCTTGTTTTTATCCTGTAAGTTCAAATTGCTGCTAATAGGTTCCGATCATAATTTTTATGAAAGAAATCAACATTTTTAGGACCATGACTTCTAAGGGGTAATAAAAATTAATTGTGAAGTTAGAGTAATTTTAAAGACAGTTTAATAAACTGAAACATCAGAATAATATTTTCGGATACAAGGACTGATAAATGAGTACATGTAAAAACCAGAAACTTAGCCAGTGATTGTACTAATACTATTATAAGTCAATTATAATCATTCAGGATTTCCAAATAATCCAATACATTCCTTATGCAAGTCATATGATATAATCGATAATAAACCAATTTTTTAAATACACAACTTTTATACGAGGTATCGTTTTATGAGATCTCTAAAAAAAAAAAAAAACACAAAACAAATGCAGGTTACAAGGTTGGTTAAGGATATTCATTTATATAAGTTGGCTTTCATTGTATACTCTGAAACAAAATATTAAAGTATATGTACTACCAAATACCAATTACCGTGCTTATTTTAGAGTATAATGGTTGTTCTCATTACAGAGTGAATTATGATAACTATCATTCAATTGCAGTTCTACTACACATCACCTCATATTTTGCAGGAAAAAAAATTCAAAATGGCCTAAGTTGCGAAATTTATGCCAACTGAACTTATTCAACTCTCAAACTTGATTCGATATTTACTTTAACATAATTCAGAACTACAAGAGTTCCATAGAAAACAACACACAATGTCTAGAACTGTTATATCAACACTTTGCGTGTATTCCTGACCTGACACAATCTAATTAACTATTGACTAGAGTCACTAGACCCACCAAAACTTTCAAAGGCATAATTTATATAAACAGATAGGTAAACTTAAATCATATAAATAGACAGGTAAGCACATATTACAATAGTATACGGCTGATTTTCTAAGTTCTGTTTTATCTCATAGAGATTTTTTCTCAGTTTAAAATAAATAAAAAAATTAAATTTAAATCATTTACTCATTACTTGTATCAGACTGATTTTTTCTGGTTGAATTAATCAATGAAATCTGTCTTCCCTAGTTTCACATTTTCAGCTGACATACGTTTCAATAACTGGATATGCATGAATACAGATTAAAATAAGTTTTAATTATTGACTTGCCAGCCAATAATACATCAGCTATGTTTTGAGCTAATTATGACAAAATTGGACCAAACTCACAGCTATTCCATTATTTCGCTTTTATAAATTTTTGAATTAAAAAAAAATATTGCTATGTTTTGTCTAAATCATAACTAATGCCCGTTAATACAATAATTAAATAAAATGCTTCGCTGGGCGCAGCTTGATACGACCGCAGAGGTCGAACCCTGAACAGTTGGGGCAAGTATGGACACAACATTCAAGCTTGATACAGCTCTGAATTTGGATTGTGATTATATATTTGACACAGCATAGGTTTCTGACACAGAAAGAATGTGGTCTAAGAACTTCAATTTTTTTAATTTACCTATTATGGTCCAATGTCCAAAATCAAAATACATGGTTAGATTCAGCATATCAAAGAACCCCATATATTCAATTTTAGTTGAAATCAAACAAAGTTTAATTTTGGACCCCAACTTGGACAAACTTGAAAACTGGTCCCATAATAAAAAATCTAAACACATGTTTAGATTCAGCATATCAAAGTACCCCAAGAATTCAATTTTTGTTAAAATCAAACTAAGTTTAATTTTGGACCCTTTGGACCTTAATGTAGACCAATTTAAAAAACGGGACCCAAAATTAAAAATCTAAAAACACGGTTAGATTTGGCATATCAAAGAACCCCAATAATTCAATTTTTGATGAAATCAAACAAAGTTTAATTTTGGACCCTTTTGACCTCAATATGAACCAATTTGATAGCGGGCCCACAAAATAAAAAATCTAAATACATGGTAAGATTCAGCATATCAAAGAACCCCATATATTCAATTTTTGTTGAAATCAAACAAAGTTTAATTTTGGACCCCAATTTGGACCAACTTGGAAACTGGGCCAAAAATCTAAAATCTAAATACATGTTAAGATTCAGCATATCAAAGAACCCCATATATTCAATTTTTGTTGAAATCAAACAAAGTTTAATTTTGGACCCCAACTTGGACCAACTTGAAAACTGGTCCCATAATCAAAAATCTAAACACATGTTTAGATTCAGCATATCAAAGAACCCCAAAAATTTAATTTTTGTTAAAATCAAACTAAGTTTAATTTTGGACCCTTTGGACCTTAATGTAGACCAATTTAAAAAACGGGACCCAAAATTAAAAATCTAAATACACGGTAAGATTTGGCATATCAAAGAACCCCAATAATTCAATTTTTGATGAAATCAAACAAAGTTTAATTTTGGACCCTTTTGACCTCAATATGAACCAATTTGATAGCGGGTCCACAAATAAAAAATCTAAATACATGGTTAGATTCAGCATATCAAAGAACCCCAAGAAATCAATTTTTGATGAAATCAAACAAAGTTTAATTTTGGACCCTTTTGACCTCAATGTGGACAAAGTTGATAACGGGGCCCAAAAATCAAAAATCTAAATACATGGTTAGATTCAGCATATCAAAGAACCCCATATATTCAATTTTTGTTGAAATCAAACAAAGTTTAATTTTGGACCCCGATTTGGACCAACTTGAAAACTGGGCCCATAATCAAAAATCTAAATACATGTTAAGATTCAGCATATCAAAGAACCCTAAAAATTCAATTTTTGTTAAAATCAAACTAAGTTTAATTTTGGACCCTTTTGACCTTAATGTAGACCAATTTGAAAACGGAACCAAAAATTAAGAATCTAAATACACGGTTAGATTCGGCATATCAAAGAACCCCAATAATTCAATTTTTGATGAAATCAAACAAAGTTAAATTTTGGACCCTTTGGACCTCAATGTGGACCAATTTAGAAACGGGGCCCAAAATCCAAAAACTTAATACACGGTTAGATTCAGCATATTAAAGAACCCCAAGAATTCAAGAATAAAACCCCATTGAAATTGATCAAGAAATAAGCAATTTATACGAAGTATCTTCTTTTGCACAATACTGTGCAATTGAATATTTCTTGCTATTGTGCAATACTGTACAATTGACAATTTCTTGCTATTGCGCAATATTGTGCTATTGGATATTTCTTGCTATTGCGCAATACTGTGCAATTGAAGATTTCTTGCTATTGCGCAATACTGTGCAATTGAAGATTTCTTGCAATTGTGCAATACTGTGCAATTGAAAATTTCTTGCTATTGCACAATACTTATTATATAATAATTTACACATCCTGTTTGGTGTGTATCTCCTACCATATCATTATTATTTGCTTTTAAATATTAATCAGAAATAACCAACTTAAAATGGAAAATTTTAAAAGAAAAAAAAAGGAAAAAAAGAAAAAAAAAGGAAAAAAAGAAAAAAAAAGAAAAAAAAAAAATCCCCCCCCCCCCAAATTTTTTGAACCCCCTTATGATTCATCACCCCCAAACTCAATCCCAGCCTTCCCTTTGTGGTATGGTACCTTGCAGTACAATTTCAGAGAGATCCATACACTTGAACACAAGTTATTGTCTGGAAACTAGAAAAATGCTTATTTTTGGCCCCTTTTTGGCCCCCAAATCCTAAACGTTTCAGGCAATTACCCCCAAACTCAATTCCAGCTTTCCCTTTGTGATATGGAACCTTGTAGTACAATTTCAGAAACATCCAAACACTTACACACAAGTTATTGTCATGAAACTAGAAAAATGCTTGTTTTTTGCCCCTTTTTTGGCCCCTAATTCCTAAAATTTTGAGGCAATTACCCCCAAAATCAATTACAGCCTTCCCTTTGTGATATGGAACCTTGTGGTACAATGTCAGAGAGATCCATACACTTACACACAAGTTATTGTCTGGAAGTTACAAAAATGCTTATTTTTGGCCCCTTTTTGGCCCCTAATTCCTTAACTGTTGGTACCATAACCCCCAAAATCAATCCCAACCTTCCTTTCGTGGTATTGAACCTTATGGTAAAATTTCATGGAGATCCATTCACTTAAACTAAAGTAAGAGTGTGAAAACCAATGTGTCTTTGGACGACGCCAGACGACGACGACGACGACGACGACGACGACGACGACGCCAACGTCATACCAATATACGACCAAAAAATTTTCAATTTTTGCGGTCGTATAAAAAGTTAAATGAAATCTATTAATTTCCACTGGCAGCATAAATATAAACAAAAGCTCAAACAAAGTAAAAATATTTGTCTTTTTCACATCTGAAGACAGCAAAACATTTTTAGTTGATATATAATTGTACTCTATATCAAAGTTTTCATGGTCTTATTCAGTGATTACTACTAAAACATCACCATAAACAATACTGATGATAAAGCCACATAGTTCGGTCTTGTATTTAACCTCTAATACCTTCGAATGAAAAAACAACATCCATTTCTCTAACAATAAATCATGATGCAGTAAGCAGTGAATGCAAGCTATAGAATTGTTGAATTTATTATGATAAAAACCTCCACTGAGGCTCAAATTCATTTCACAAGCTTTGAAGTAAAAAAAATTTATTAATAAAGTTACTTTGTGAATTATTTATTGTATGGTTTATGGTTAACAGATACAATAATTAATTCCATGTGATGCCAAGCAGTCTACAGATACACATCAAAGGAACACATTCATTTAAAGAGACACACAAACAATTATTCAATAATTTTTGTAACCTTATGAAACACAGACCAAACAAGTGAATCTGCGAGCTACTGCTCACTAATGATACCCCCGCCCCGCTAAAAGTATAAGGTAAACAGGAAGTTGTTGAGTGATGAATCTGAAAACGCATCACACGGTATAGCTAACTTATATAAACCCTGAAACCAAATTTCAGAAATCCTTGTATTGTAGTTCCTGAGAAAAATGTGACGAAAATTTTCAACTTGGCTATCATGTGTAAAATGATACAAGTGTTTGGTAAACAGGAAGTTGTTGAGTGATGAATCTGAAAACGCATCACAAGGTATAGCTGACTTATATAAACCCTGAAACCAAATTTCAGATATCCTTGTAATGTAGTTCCTGAGAAAGATGCGACGAAATATATTCATGGGACGGAAGGACGGACTGAAGGACTGACGGATGGACGGACAGACGGACAGACAGAGGTAAAACAGTATACCCCCACTTTTTTAAAGCAGGGGTATAATTTTAAAGCATGTAATCAAAATTTATACTTTGAAACCCTTTAATATCATATTATCTGATATCATTTTGATGATATCTTGTCATTTTAAAATATGTTGTTAGTTAATATATTTGTAAAAAAAAAATTAAAAAAAATTAAATTTAAAAAAATGCTTTTAAAACTTCTGTTTTACCTGTCCTAAATAAAATTAACCGAAAAATGTGTCAGCATGTACATTTGATCAGTATAAATGCATGGTACATGTTTCTCTTTGAAGATTGCTTTACACATGTGTTAAAATCAACATATAGCTGCACAGTATAACTATTTACAGTTTTGGTTGTTATATAATTTTCAAAATAATCAATATAATAAAACATAAATATATATCAAAGTTAGTTTAATGCATACTAGTCACTCTTAAAAAATCAATATGGCTTAGTAATCAAAGTGCTTGTGAGCACTGAAGGGTAAAGATTGCTTTCATTTTGCAATTTTCTGAATTTTTAAATAAAATGTTGAATTATATTTTGCTAGGCCAATTAAAAAATTTGAGTAGGAGTAATCTTCCTTTATTCATGATTGTACACTTGTTGTTGAACCTATTCTTATTTTATAACAGATTCATACACAATGCATTACTTTTGTAATTTTTAATAAAAAATGTTTTCTTGACAAGTATTGTAAATCAAATACACATCTTGTTGTAACTTAAATATCAAAGTATAACATATCATCAATAAATTGCATGACATTGACTGGATAGTATCTAAATAATGATCACTTCACTGCACTATTTTGTATGAACTATCAAAGGTAGTGATAATCCTTACATAAATATCAAGTCAGTACCATAGGGTTTTGATGAAATGCAATCTTTACCCAAAAACCAATATATTCTGATAGCTTTAGCAGTGATTTACCTAAGTTCTGTATGAGCAATTTGCATTTCAACACACAAATTATTTTATTTACAATGTAACTCTTGATAACAATCCCCATCTTTCCTTCAAAGTATTTGGTTTTAAAGTTATATTACATCATTGTGCATTTGTTGGGCATAAAATCTATGTAGAAAGGTTGAGCAAAGGGATGAATATCTTAATAGTCTTTTTGCCAATTACATAATTGATTCTGTTATTACACACTTTTAAACAAGTTGTTTCCCTTTTCCAAGAGTAGACTGGTTCTTAACCAAAAAAATGGGGAATGTGCCCATGGGACACAGATGATGCCCCCGCTTTCATATAATGTTAAAAAGGGACATAACTCAAGAACTGTAAAAGTGACAATACCCAAATTTGAACTTGATCTGAGTTTTGTGGTAATAAGCATTGTTTTTAAGTTTATAACATTTAGTTGAGGCAAACTTGTTAGAATACGGAAACGAAAAATTCAGCAATTTTTCCATTTGTTAAGGGACATAACTCTATAACGGTAAAAGTGACACCACCAAAATTGGAACTTGATCTGTGTTTTGTGGTAATTAACATTGTGCATAAGTTTCATAACATTTGGATGAGGCAAACTAAAGTTAGAGAACAGAAACCAATATTTCAGCAATTTTTCCATTTATAAAGGGGCATAACTCTAGAACGGTAAAAGTGACCCCACCAAAATTCATACTTGATCTGTGTTTTGTGGTAATAAGCATTGTGTATAAGTTTCATAACATTTGGTTGAGGTTAACTAAAGTAAGAGAACGGAAACGAAAAATTCAGCAATTTTTCCATTTGTAAAGGGGCATAACTTTAGAACGGAAAAAGTGACGCCACCAAAATTCAAACTTGATCTGTGTTTTGTGGTAATAAGCATTGTGTATAAGTTTCATAATATTCGGTTGAGGCAAACTTAAGTTAGAGAACGGAAAAACCAATTTTGGGACGTACGTACAGACGGACAAGGGTAAAACTTAATGCCCCTCCGCTACGGCAGGGGCATATCAAAATGGGCTGCTCAAAGCTTGATAAGTTGAAAGTGATATATAGTAGTTTTAACCAATTTTGAATGAAAAATAACTATTGATATCAAAAGTTTTAAGCTTGAAAAACTTAAAAGATTACATATTATGCACAGACGAGTTGGCTCTTTTCTCTAGCTCTTCATTGTCAATGAAATTTATGTCCTGCCTAAGAGAAAAATCTCATACAAATGAATCTGTACTTACAAAATCAATTGTGGAATTGGCAAATAGACTAGTGGGAAAATTTCTTATAATGGCTTTGCTTAATGTTGATGAAGAGGGGGTTTTTAACGACCTTGACTACATAAAAGGGTCTTGCACGGTCGGAAACTGCTTAATGTGATAAATGTTCAAATTAATATTTTTCTGTCGGTAGTGTTGAATAATTTACATAAAAATACAGACTTATTTTTCAAGCGTCCATCAATGATCCTGTCCCATCTAGGATGAAGGGATCTATATTGTACATTTAAATGATGTTAGAAATCAGCATAAAATAAAAGAGTATTCATCTGGACATGGAAATGATATGGATCAAACGTATTCAAATATGTGATTGACCATTAACAAGAAAATTGTTTAGTACTGTGGATTCATTTATTTTCGTGGGTACCAATTTTGTAGAATAAGAAAAACTTGCATGTTCATGGCTATTTAATTTCATGGTTTTGCCGAAGTCTGCATACAAGCCTATATAAAATATGTCATTCGTTGAACATTTAATTTCATGGTTTACTTGTACCCACGAAATCCATGAAAATTGGTACCCCACGAATAATAATGAATCCACGGTATGTGAAATGTTTCTTGTATACAGTAACATTATTCATTTAGAAATGCTACTGAGGAAACTTTCTTGTTAAATAAATTGATTGACAATGAGCAAAGTTTTATATTTAAAATTTCACATGATTGACATCCTTAAAACAAAATGATAACAAAGTAATTGGTGACAGTGTTCACATACATAAAGCACTGATCATTGTAGAAAACTGGATAACAGTCCTATATTGACATACTTTATCTTATTAAATATCCTTTACTTTTGAAAAAAAAAATAACAGGGTCAAGTTAAAAAATTTCAAAATAAGAAATGATTTGACATTAAATTTATGGAATTTTACTCAAAAAAACAAAAACCAAAAAATTTATAACCTTTACTATAAATTTTAAATTGACAATGCCAGCAACAGTTAAAAAAAAATATATCCAGCACTTTGCTTCAATCTAAGTACACCATTGATTATACAATGTCTATTTTTATAAGGTAGACATTTTAAAATTAAAAGCGAATAATAAAAAGATATGAATACATTCAAATTAAAAAAGGTTATATTGTTCAATACAAAACATATTTTTTTCCTACTTGACCTTCTGGCCAAAGTAAATTATTATAGTTCTTCCCTTTTTTATGGTATATAACTAACATCACCAGTATGTTTTTGAAACACTTAACATGACATAAACATAACTTACAAATTTATAATAAATATGAAAAACTATAAGTTAAATTTTTAATTTAACATGTGCATGTATTATAAATTGACAATACAAAAACAAACATTAACAAATTGAAGCACCAACAAGTACCGTCCATATCACAAAAGATTTACTCTACTTTAAGTAATTTACTGTATTCTTCTTGTGGTTTTGAAATCCATTCTTCTTTAACCTTGTTTCTTTTCAGCATACCATCCCTATAAAACAATTATGGTTGTTTTTAAATTGAAACTGTATGGAAGCAGTGGAGGATTGAGGAGGGGGGGTTCCGGGGGTTGGACCCCCCCTTTTTTTTGACGATCAATGCTTTTGAATGGGGACATATGGTTGGAACCCCCCCTTTTAAAAATGGATGGATCCGCCCCTGGGAAGTATGGAATGTACTATACCTTTTAGTGTCATCTACTTCCTGTTTGCATATACATATACATGTAATTTGAATTTTTTTGAAACATTTAAATATTTGAAAGATTTTCAATAAGCTGTCTGAAATGAAAATTTTCATCACATATTTCACAAGTACTACATCACAGAATTACTTCATATTTAGCTTGGCAGTGATCATTTGTCAGATGTGAGCACTTTTCAGATCTGCCAGATACCTATTTCCTGATTTCTGATACTTCGAATTACAAGTGGGGTATGCCTAGAATGACAATATTATTGATTTAGAAACCATTCATTCACTTTTATTAAAATAATTTCTATTACAGGAATTTTGAACAACTCAAAGATTACAATTTAACCTAATTAGCAGAAATAAAGTGAAGCTATTAAGTTCATTTTCACAATTATATCTCATATAGACAAGTGCTACCATTAACCATACGTCTATTTCAGTTTAACCTGTCCTCAAATTTGAACTCAAAACAAATAGTGAAATTCAAACCTATGTTCCAACCTACAAATTGTAAGGGACAATACGAATGAATAAAAGACTTGCTATAAAAATGAGAGTCAATGATTGAGATCACTTTACCATTTACTTTCTCAGAATTAAACTCTTAGTTAAAATAAGAGTGTAAATCACTAACCTGTGTAGAATGATTTTGTGTTTAAAACTCAATGAATACTAGTATTCTATAAATAATTGTTAACTGAAAACCTTTCCAATTATTAAGATAGATTAAAAGTTCAAGATTTTAGATAAACCAGGAACATTATGAAAGCACATTTTTATTAATAGCACAAAGCATTTAAAAAGGAAAAGTAAAAATTACCAATCTAAATCAGCAAATCCTCCTTGTTTGACTATTTCCTTTTTAACACGACTTGCAAAATGAATGGCATCTTCACCTTCCTGGTAAATAATAAAAAAAAAAAAAAAAAATTGAAAGAATAAGAAATAATAATATCAATGTATAGGCATACTTCTTTTTGATCATTCTTTTTCTTTTTCTCATTGTAATTAAAAATGAATATTTTTATAAAGGGTATATCACAGGGCTTCCAAAACGGTCATATATTCCAGAATTGACCGAAACTTTCATAAAAAGTCTGGCTGCTCTCAGCCTCAAACGGTCAAATAGAATTGGTTTGCCACTTTTTGTTATTCAAGGTATTTTCATAGAACCATCATTTCAATTTTTACCAACTATCGATGGATAAAAATGTCCGTTTGGGCATTTTAGTTTATAATTGTGGCAATCTATTTCACAAAGATATTTCGGTCATAATTGGGTTTAATAAAACAGATGCAGCATATTTCAGATACTTTGAAGTGTCTCAGTTAGTCTAATCCTCTGGGTACATAAATGTACGGCTTGGTTTTTAGCTTGTGTACATCAATACAAAGCAGAAAAAAACACGTTTTCTTTTATTTAAATAACAACAAGCTGTCAAACAATTATCCCTTCAATAAGTTATATTGAAGCCATAAATCATTCACTGATTACAGGTTGTTACCTTTGATGAGGTGTCTTTAGCTTGTATTAATCAATAGAATTATTTCGATTCTAATAGGACAAATATGGCAATTGTTTTGGATCGAAGCGCTCTAGATGAAGGCATTATTTGCCGTTCCCATAAATAAACACACTATTAAATTGACGTAACAGACCGGAGCAAACTGAATAAATGACATGCTAAAACTATTTACAATAACATATTTAGATAGGTTTGGATGAATCTATATGATAATTGTACTTATATGTCTTATATGTATACAAAAAATGGCTTATATAACACATTTAAGCATCGTTTGTTTATGTTTCCTTGTTGTGATAATTTTCGGTTTCACAAGCGTGTATTTTCCCGTAAAATGCTTATATTCTTACGTCAGCGTTCTATCACGTCGGGTAGCTCATTCATAAAAAAGCATATGACGCGGGAGTAGGATCGGAACAGCCCAAACAATATATTCATATTTTACCACGGGTGTGTACTCAAAGCGTTTGAAGAACGTCATGTTAGAATGATGCATAACAATGGACATAAAGGTGATAAGGTAAACGAGGTCAAACATGTAAGGGTGTATGGAACAACATCCTATTTAATTACGCTTTGTAGATATTATTTTAAATGAGCATTCAGTTTTAAAAAAAGTATCCTGAGATTTTAAAATAATTCTTCAAATAAGAATATTTATAAATGAATTTGTATGATATTCATTATTATATTTAAACACTGCACATCATGTTAAATACTGGGGTACGCTAAAGGGTATTCAAAGTTATTTTCTTACATTTCAGCAGTTTGCATCTAATTAACTTAGTCTGAAAGATTGAAATTATAAGAAATACGTTATTAATATGATTTGATGAAAAATTTAAAAAGGTTTTAAACGAATAATCGCCAGAACCACGTTGTTTGAACTAGTACACGTGTGCACAAGTGCGCTGGTGGGAAATTTAATTATGCATCTTAATTCTTCAAAAATGCTAAACTTATTATTGATACCTTTATCTAACGTTCATTTCGAGTATTTTCTTGAAGAAATAACTTGGAAAGAGCTACTTAACTCAATCATGCTTTGTAAACGTACATGGATTTTACGTATCCGTCTCCGTTCCGTGATTTACCATTGTCAAGTCAAGGTATTAGGAAAATGTGCTTTTTAAAAATGAAAGTAAAGTTTTTGACAACGTTATTTTGCACAAATAAAGAGTCTAAGGCAGAATAAGAACGCTGATGTTGCTTACTTCAAATGATTGCACTTTCAATTTAACAGTTTACGTCAGAACATCGAATTCATATCAAAGTAAAGTTAAATATCGTTTGAAAGTCAATCATTGGTTATATGATGGCCAACTGATTACCATAATTGCCTTTTGTTACTAAGTCTAAAGGGATTAAAATCGGGTTAAGATGTAAAATGTCCGGCCGGCTCAAATATTTTTTGGAAGCCCTGGTATATCATGAAGCAATATTAACCAATAGTGCATGCAAAGGATATGTGCACAGCTATCAACTTCATAAAACTTTCCTTGTTGATGGATTATGAATACTGCAAATTATAAATGTATAAACGAAAAATTAAGCACACAGTCGAATAACACAATGAAAGGCAACAACAATACATAGCTCCATAGCTACAGGTAATAAAAAAAAACAAAAAAAAATTGGGGTCAAAACTCTAATTTGGCATTAAAATTAGAAAGATCATATCATAGGGAACATGTGTACTAAGTTTCAAGTTGATTGGACTTCAACTTCATCAAAAACTACCTTGACCAAAAACTTAAACCTGAAGCGGGACAGACGGACGGACAAACGAACGAACGCACAGACTGTAAAACATAATGCCCCTAGGTGGGGCATAAAAAAAAGATATATCGGGAAGAAAACAAATGCCTCTGTTTGATGCCCAAACATAACAGGCATAATGGAAAAAACTACAAACAAAGCAATGGTATTGAAATTGTGTAAGTATAAGGTCTGTGATTCAGTGAAAAGTATGTCATCAGATACAAAATGTCAACTTTAAAGTGAGAGATTTGTAATTATAGTAAAAAGTGCATTTTATACAGCTGCATACTAAAAAATAGTTCAATATTTGCAGGAGGGAAACAAAATCATGAACAACTTTATATGTATCCACAATTACTGACAAGGATAGAACATATGTTCAGAGAGAGCATATAAAACTTAAACAGTTACTTTTCACTATATGGAATCAAAATCAGAAAACTTTGAATGCAAGGAAGCAATATATATTCTTATAATAAATTCAACAACTACAATGTCTTTTCTTCCACTGTATTATGAGAAATATATGTAATATCTTGTTTATCCAAACATAACTTTTGACCCCTGTCCTTAAACACATCTTTATTTTAAAATTGGTTTTGGTCAAAAAATGGTTTGAAACCAGTTCAATTTTCCATTATACAATTAAAAAAAATTTCACTTTACGAATGGTCTTTTTTTAATCATTAGTAAATATTCATTCAAAATAATATCATGAAAAGGAATAACACTATTTTTCTGTTTATTTGAACAGATCAAAATGATTTAATAACTGATAGAAAATTATTTGATTATTCTTATATTCCAGATTCCAAACTGGCAAATACCTATTACATTAATATTGCAGTTAAAAATTGTAACAAAAATAAAATATAATACTTTAGAAATGAAATTGTGAAAGATAATTTTCTTACCTGTTTATCCATGGGTGGTAAATACCAAACATCAGCTACTAGTGCCCAACTTGTTAAAATCTCCCAAAGATGTCCCAACATGCCCATTTTACTGCTGTTCCAAAAGGCATCACCAAACCGTAAATCATACTAAAGTAGCAAATAACATAGATTCAGCAGACGACACAACCATAGAAAAATACTCTTGGAATTATCATACATTGTACTACAAAATGTACTAAAACACAATGAATTTAATATTTATATTTGTTGAAATTCATCTTTTATCAAATATGAAATATGGCTGAAAAACTGCACCATAAAGTAATCCATAAATACACTTAAAATTTTAAGTTTCAAGAACTGAAGAGATTAAAATTTTTTTTTAAACATTCAAAATTGTTAATAGATAAACTACATGAAAATATGACATATCTCAAATGCTTTTTCAATTCAAAAACATCTTAGGAGTGGGAACATATTTGATTCTATGACCCTCTAACCAACAGAATTTTTTTCTTTACATTGTATAAAAGAAAAAAATTCCCTCTCTCAGCATATCAAAAGAAGGGCCATGAAGGCCTATATTTGCCCCCCCCCCCCCTTAAAAAATATCAAAATTTGTAATATAATATCTCAAAACCAATACAATTGTACTGCTAATCAAATATGCATATTTAAATAAATGTTTTTTCTGTCTATTCTTGTCTTTTGTCAAGTTTGACAACATCTAAGGTTTGAGATTTTTTTCCTAGTTTTTAGCCATTTTTCTGGTTCAACTGCAATTTTAAAGCATATTTCCTTCTTAAAATAAAATGCTTCTCTGAGCCTGATAAGACCGCAGAGGTCGATCCCTGAACAGTTGGGGTAAGTTTGGACACAATATTCAAGCTTGATACTGTCTGAATTTGGATTGTGATTAAATTTTTGACATAATATAGGTTTCTGACACAAAATAAATGTGGTCAAAGATCTTAAAAATCTATTGCTGTGCTATTGCACAATACTTTCAATTAAAGATTTCTTCTTGAAACTTTTCAAAAATTTTGAAGAAAAAAAATTGGGAAAAAAATCCCCCTCCCAATCTTTTTGACCCCCCTTGGAGTAATTACCCCCAAACTCAATCCCAGCCTTTCCTTTGAGGTATGGAACCTTGTAGTACAATTTTAACACTTAAACACAAGTTATTGTTTGGAAACTAGAAAAATGCTTGTTTTTGGCCCTTCCTTGGGAAATATTCAAACTTAAATGGACTAGCCCTTACGAACTGTTCTGGATGAAAAGTTTGTTAAATACAGAGCTTAAGCTTCACAATTAAGTGAACACAACTGTACTTACTTTAATAGCGACTGGGTGAATTCTATCACTGTTTTCAAAACTGCCTTTTTTAAACATCATAACTGATGTATTATTTATACAGGTACCTAAAATAACAAACAAATAATTCAATCCCTGTCAAATCATAAAATGTCATTACTTCAGACATTTTAAGTGTGTTTGTTTAGTTTTAGTTTCCTATGTCCTACATGTTTTTTTTTCATAAAATTTTATTGAATCTAGTTAATGATATATAATTTTCTATGGAGTATATATATAGCTTTGTATTTACCTTCTGGGAAAATCAATATTGGTAATTTGCTTTTATCTTCTACATGGTCTCTTAATCTGCAAAATAGTTACAAAGAAATAAAAAAAATAATCAAATAATGATGTTTCAAGTGCAATTTCTACGAATTTAATTAGAGGTTTCACAAATTATTTATATCAAGAGAAATACAGAATGTTTTGTTGTAATTTGTGACTATGACGCTACTAATTTCTGTTTTATTTCCCAAGACTTTTAATCAAAAACATTCAAATTTTTTTCAATAAAATCATCTAGTGAAGAATTAATAATACTCATTGCTTTTTTTCTTAGCAAAACTCAGTGGCGGATCCAGGGTGGTTCCGGGGGTTGGAACCCCCCTTTTTTTTGGGACAATCAATGCATTTGAATGGGGACATATACTTGAAACCCCCACCCCCCTTTATTCTGGGTTGGGAACCCCCCTTTTAAGAATGGCTGGATCCACCACTGAAACTCTATTACTAGCTCGGGAAAAATATCTTCAAAATGGGAACACAAATATGCACATTTTACATTGTGTGGGTTGTTGTCTAATGGATGTTAAACTCTACATCATTATCATAGTCCAAAGAATACTATATCATAATTAAATAAACATGTATTGAACATATATCTGATTACATTTTGTGATAGTAAAGACAGGCGTGATGCTTTAAACATTCACTGAGGTGAGACAACTTGTGTTCTTATAAATAAATATCATCTTGTCAAATATTTCTTGGAATAGTCAGTTTCACAACTTTGTAACTAACGGTCCTGCAGATGATCTCTGATGATGTAATTGTGGTAGGAATTGGGAAGACCCCTTTATGCCTCAAGTGAAGTTCTAGGAAAGCTGCTCTTGTGTGTAGCCCACCACTTTAAAGGATATATATCAGGACTTAGTATTTCCAACTGAAGGATTATAGAGATATTTTAAACAAGAATTCAGAACAAGCATACAAAATGTTTTTTTTAAACTATGATTGATCAGTGATTTCGATCTGAGGTCTGTTAACAAGATAATAAACTTTATGATAAGAGAAGGATAATGTCCTTACCAAAATGTATTAGTCAAGTATCATTTTGATACTCAATACTACCGATCAAAAACTCAGGTATTTGAGTGCTTGTTCACATAAATAATTATTTCACTCATATTTTTTTTTAATTTTCAAAGCTTCTTCTTTACACTTACCGGGTAAAACAAATCACAGGAATGTCATGATAATTTCCACATATGTTTCACAAGTTTATTTACCCAGAAGTTAAAAATAATTCTTTTATACAAGAAATAATTGTCTTTATATGGATATTTTCATTAACTAAGCTGAATGACCCCTTTACAAGAGTTACAAGCAACACATTTTTCTGTACATGTATGCAAGAAACTCATGTAGACTTTTTTTATAAACAACAGCTAATCACTAATCAGTTATCAATACCTTTTTGCAACTATATGCCTGTCTTTAACCTCTGACCTTTCAAACCAAATATGTGATGTAGCTCTTGACAAAGCTCTCTGCATCACACCTAAAAATCCACCTTGAGCTTGTCCAACCTACAAAAAGTATTTCATTCATACATTTAAATTTTTCCTTTATTTATCAAAAAAATTAGGAAGTGAAAGAGCTAGTAAATCAATGCAAAAGATTAGTTCTAAATATTTGTGTCTCACAATACATTTACTGGTATTGTATTAAAATATCACGGAAAAATGGATATAAACTTGAATTATCATAAATATGGATCTATGTTCTATGATTGCATTTAGAGGGATAAAACTGTTTTTTTTTTTCAATGTGATGTTTGCCAAGTGTCCTCAATTTTTGAAAATTTATTTATCCAATAGTAAAGAAATATTCAGTTCCATGTGATACAGGGGTTGAATATATTTCTCAAATAAATTGAAGATATTTTGTATTTTTCAGGAAAAATCAGCATTAATCAATTAATCAGGATCAGAAAAAAATATAAAGCCATTATTCATCTTATAACATCAGCAAGATCAAAGAGCGGCAGGGAATCCTATTTCATAATTGAATTTTAACCAATGACCATCTGAAAACCACATACTGTTCACAAAAATATATTAAATATACAAAATTACTTAAAAGAACAAATGCATTCACTGCTGGTCAAAGTAAATAGTGTGTAGTAACTTACTATATTTTGGTATTTAATACCACTTTCTCATTGACATATACCCCAACTCTCATTTTATTTATACCTATATTGAGATTTACTAATACTACTTACCATAGCATAACAATTGTCACATGATAAAATAATGACATCTATAGGAGAAGTATGGTTTGCTACAACTATCCCGTTTGAAGTTTTGTTTTCTCTGTATAGAAAAAAAAAATCATTACAATAAACAGTAGCATGAGCCGCCATGAACAAGCATTCTGAGAATATTGCATGGCAATACATAGTCCCCCACCGGGTAAAAATTCATTATACTGGAACAAAATGCTAACTTGTTCTATAACTTGTCATGGTGTAAACAAAAAGAAAATATCAAGTCAATATCTTCAAACATGACTAAAAACAGTGTAGATAAAATGCTCCGCTGGGGCGCAGCTTGATACGACCGCAGAGGTCGAACCCTGAACAGTTGGGGCAAGTATGGACACAACATTCAAGCTTGATACAGCTCTGAATTTGGATTGTGATTAAATATTTGACACAGAATGAATGTGGTCTAAGAACTTAAAAATTTTTAATTTACCTATTCAAACCATATCATTATTTGCTTTTATATATAAATCAGAAATAACCAATTTAAAATGGAAAATTCTAAAGAAAAAAAAATCCCCCCCCCCCCCCCCCAATTTTTTGAACCCCCTAGTGATTCATCACCCCAAAACTCAATAACAGCCTTCCCTTTGTGGTATGGTACCTTGCAGTACAATTTCAGAGAGATCCGTACACTTGAACACAAGTTATTGTCTGGAAATTAGAAAAATGCTTGTTTTTTGGCCCCTTTTTGGCCCCAAATTCCTAAATGTTTAAGGCAATTACCCCCAAACTCAAACCCAGCTTTCCCTTTGTGATATGGAACCTTGTAGTACAATTTCATAAAGATCCATACACTTACACACAAGTTATTGTCTGGAAACTAGAAAAATGCTTGTTTTTTGCCCCTTTTTGCCCCCTAACTCCTAAAATTTTGAGGCAAATACCCCCAAACTCAATCCCAGCCTTCCCTTTGTGGTATGGTACCTTGCAGTACAATTTCAGAGAGATCCATACACTTACACACAAGTAATTGTCTGGAAACTAGAAAAATGCTTGGTTTTTTGCCCCTTTTTTTGGCCCCTTATTCCTAATATTTTGAGGCAATTACCCCCAAAATCAATCCCAGCATTCCCTGTGTGATATGGTACCTTGCAGTACAATTTCAGAGAGATCCATACACTTGAACACAAGTAATGGTCTGGAAACTAGAATAAAATGCTCCGCTGGGCGCAGCTTGATACGACCGCAGAGGTCGAACCCTGAACAGTTGGGGCAAGTATGGACACAACATTCAAGCTTGATACAGTACTGAATTTGGATTGTGATTAAATATTTGACACAGCATAGGTTTCTGACACAGAATGAATGTGGTCTAAGAACTTAAAAATTTTTAATTTACCTATTCAAACCATATCATTATTATTTGCTTTTATATATAAATCAGAAATAACCAATTTAAAATGGAAAATTTTAAAGAAAAAAAGGGGAAAAAAATCCCCCCTTAAATTTTTTGAACCCCCTAATGATTCATCACCCCCAAACTCAATCCCAGCCTTCCCTTTGTGTTACAATGTATGGTGCCTTGCAGTACAATTTCAGAGAGATCCGTACACTTGAACACAAGTTATTGTCTGGAAACCAGAAAAATGCTTGTTTTTTTGCCCCTTTTTGGCCCCAAATTCCTAAACGTTTAGGGCAATTACCCCCAAACTCAAACCCAGCTTTCCCTTTGTGATATGGAACCTTGTTGTACTATTTCATAAAGATCCATACACTTACACACAAGTTATTGTCCTGAAACTAGAAAAATGCTTGTTTTTTTGTCCCTTTTTGGCCCCTAATTCCTAAAATTTTGAGGCAATTACCCCCAAAATCAATCCCAGCCTTCCATTTGTGGTATGGTACCTTGCAGTACAATTTCAGAGAGATCCATACACTTGAACACAAGTTATTGTCTGGAAACTAGAAAAATGCTTATTTTTGGCCCCCTTTTGGCCCCTTATTCCTAAACTTTTTGGGCAATTACCCCCAAACTCAATTCCAGCTTTCCCTTTGTGATATGGAACCTTGTAGTACAATTTCAGAAAGATCCATACACTTACACACAAGTTATTGTCATGAAACTAGAAAAATGCTTGTTTTTTGCCCCTTTTTTGGCCCCTAATTCCTAAAATTTTGAGGCAATTACCCCCAAAATCAATCCCAGCATTCCCTTTGTGATATGGAACCTTGTGGTACAATGTCAGAGAGATCCATACACTAACACACAAGTTATGTCTGGAAGTTACAAAAATGCTTATTTTTGGCCCCATTTTGGTCCATATTTCCTTAACTGTTGGTACCATAACCCCCAAAATCAATCCCAACCTTCCTTTTGTGGTATTGAACCTTATGGTAAAATTTCATAGATCCATTCACTTAAACTAAAGTTAGAGAGCGAAAACCAATGTGTCTTCGGACGAAGACGACGACGATGAAGACGACGACGACGCCAACATCATACCAATATACGACCGGTTGTATAAAAACTGAATATATGAGTGAATTTTTTCAAGTCCAAGGACCATAACTCTGCACAAAATTATCAGACCAAAACAAAAATTTGAACTTGATCTGTAATTTGTCATAATAAAACTATATACCAATTGTCAATCAATATCTTCAAGCATGATGAAAAAAAGTGAGGAAACCCTATAACACACTCTAACATTTGATATGATTAATAGTTCTCTAAAATTAGATATGATGTAATACAATGTATATCTATTTTCAAATTACAATCAAATATAATTAATAGTTCCAAATATTTTTTCTTTCATTTGTCACATACTTATAAAGATTTGTAACTTATCTATAAAATGTCAACAACTTTAATCTACACAATGTAATGTAATGAAATATATACCTTAATAAAAATAGATTATTATCTAATTAAAGGATTTCACTTAATGAAATATATATATATATATATATATATATATATATATATATATATATACATGTAGCATTCAGAACATTAGTTTATACAAAATAACATATAAACCTGCCACAAAATTCCTCAAACAATTTACCAAAGAATGTCTTTTAACAAATGAGTTATCTCCCTTTGTACAGATATATGGTTTAACATAGAACTCTAACATTAGTTATGGAGTTTTTTTATGGACCATAACTCTGGACTAAATCATCAGACCGGAATAAAATTCGAACTTGATCTATAACTTGTCATGATAAAACTATATACCAAATATCAAATCAATATCTTCAAGAACGAAGAAAAAAAGTGTGGAAAACTGAGTTGCCGGACTGACTGATGGACAGACAGACGGACAGAGTGCAAACCTAAAGTCCCCCTCAACTTTGTCGGTAGGGGACTTAAAAATGATAAAAGTTTCAACAATTTTAATCTTATGAATTCTAAAATGTGCTGATGTATGGGAAATGATGTCTCAACTTTAGTCTCCTTTGAAGCTGAACCTGTGTAATGCACATTAAATTTACACCACAAACTTTGACCATGAATGCCCTGTTTGTGGGTTATTATGGTCACAGTAGTTACCAATGGTTGCTTTTATGTTGCTCTTATAACAGGCATTAATTCCCCATAACTCTTATAGACATATAAGGGCTGTCCATATAGGATTACGAAGTGTGTAAATTTGAGAAGCAGAGGCATAAGAATATAAATGAACAGAAGACATTGAGAGATATAAGTAACCAACTATTATTTTTTCTATACTGAATTGGAGAAAAGAGTCTATGACTGTAATCTTTGCACTCATTGATAACCTGTTTCCTTCAATGGGGACATCACAGCAAATTATAATAATAGAAGCAGCCATTTCCTTGTGGTACTCTCAACTTCTCATTAGATAAAATAAACTATAAATTTATCCCTATAGTAATGTCAATACTGGCAACCATATATCCAAAATTACAGTTGATTGATTTATTTTCGTGGGTACCATTTTTCTTAGATTGAGGGAAAATTGTATTTTCATAGGTATTTGGTATCATGGTTTTGGCAAAATCCACATACAAGCTTATAGAATATTTGCACTTTGTTGAACAGTTTAATTTGTGGTTTACATTTACCAACGAAATCCCTGAAAATTAATAAGGGGTTCCATGGAACCCTGTGTCTCGCCTGCGATTACTGCTGTCAGTGTAAAAGTGTAATGTTGACTTAAAAAGTGAGTCCATTTATCAGTAAAATACAGAATTTAAAAAAAAATTTAAACTTTTTCTTTAGATGCTATTTCTTGGTCTTTAAGATAAGCTTCTGTCCAAGTTTCATAACAATCCATGAGGGTTTACAAATTTATCATGTAAAAAAAATTTAATCCCAGACTGTCTGTAAATGTTAACTGTAAAAAATGAAGTCCATCTATCAGAAAATTACTAAAAATGAAAAAAAAAACATTTTCAAAGGTTTGCTTCAGACATTATCTAATCATTAATAAAATGCTTCGCCGAGCCCAGCCTGATACATCGCAGAGGTCGAACCCTGAACAGTTGGGGCAAGTTTGAACACAATATTCAAGCTTGATACTGTCTGAATTTGGATTGTGATCAAATTTTTGACATAATATAGGTTTCTGACACAAAATAAATGTGGTCAAAGATCTTAAAAATTTGAAATGGGACATTTAATTAACCTAGAATGGTCTTATATCCAAAATCTAACAACATGGTTAGATTGAGCATATAAAAAAACACCAAAAATTTAATTTGAGTTGAAATCAAACAAAGTTTAATTATGGACCCTTCAAACCTTAATATGGACTAATTTGAAAACAGGGCCCAAAATAAAAAAATCTAAATGCACAATAAGATTCAGCATATCATAGAGCCGCAATAATTCAGTTTTTGATGTAATCAAACAAATTTTAATTTTGGACCCTTTGGACCTCAATGTAGACCAATTCAAAAATGGGACCAAATATCCAAAATAGTAATACAAGGTTAGAACCCCCAAAAATGAAAAACTTTAAATAAATCCCATTGAAATTGGTTAATAAAAGATTTGTATATATTTCCAATTGAAGATTTCTTGCTATTGCACAATATTGTGCTCTTGCGCAATACTGTGCTGTTGCACAATACTTAGTTAATCTGTTATATATAATAATTCACACACCCTGTTTGGTGTGTATCTCCTGCCATATCAGTATTTGTTGCTTTTATATATCAATCAGAAATAATCAATGGAAAAATGGAAAATTTTTGGGAAAAAAAACCCCAAAAATTTATGAAAAAAAAAATCCCCCCAAAAAATTTGAACGTTTTTATTGTGATTTACTCCTTTTTAGAATTAAATTATAAGGAATGACTGTAATATTTTTTCTGTCTTTTTTTGAAATAACATAAAATATGTGGTGCACACTTTTAAATAACCCGCTACGCAGATTATTCAGTGTGCACCACATTTTTGATGTTATTTCTTCATAGACAGAAAAAATATTAGTCATTCCTTAAAGAAAAAAATATGAACCCTCCCAAAAATATTTTCAAAAAAATCCCTCCTCCAAAAAAAAATTCAAAGAAAAAAAAATATGAACCCCCCCCCCCCCCCCCCCTCCCCCAATTTTTTTTTGAAATTTTGAAAATTATTTTCTTTTCACAAAAAATGTACAATTTCAGAGAGTTCCATAAACTTTAACACAAGTTATTGTCTGGAAACTAGAAAAATGCTTGTTTTTGGTCCCTTTTTTGCCCCTAATTCCTGAACGTTTGGGGCAATTACCCCCAAAATCAATCCCAACCTTCCTTTTGTGGTATTGAACCTTCGGGTAAAATTTCATAGAGATCCATTCACTTAAACTAAAGTTATTGCTGGAAACAAAATGTGTCTTCGGACGATGTCGACCACGACATGATACCATTATACAAACGCAAATTTTTTGCGGTGGTATAAAAAGCTACTGCCAAAGTTTCATAAAACTCTATGAAGGTTTGGCAAAGTTATTGATGTGTAACAAACTTTAACCCCAGACTGTTTCTACTGTACAAAAACTAAGTCCATTTTTCAGTAAAATACAGAAATGTCCTAAATTTTTTTACCACAGACTAAACCTTAACGTTGACGCCGCAAAGGCCAACGACTGAATCTAGGATCGCTATGTCTCGCTTTCGGGAAATAAATTTCGCAGGCTCAACAAAAAGGGTATCCCACAAATAATAATTAATCCACATTATCCATTAATAGACTTACTTGTTATGATAAACTACATAAGCAGAACATCCTCTGGCAAGAATTCTATGGGACATCAGACTAACATATTCATTTAGTTTACCTTTGAACCTGTAAAACAAAACTATTAATCTAATTCATGGAATAATGACCTAAAAATATTTATCAAAAATGTTTACAGAAACATCTCCAAAACATTTAATGTAAATAAATATATAATGAAGAATTGGAGATCAAAGGTTGTCATAAAATATCAATTTGAATTTTGTTTCCTGACATCAACATGATACTAACACAGATTATTTGTCTTCAATGTCATTTAAGGAGATAAAAAGTTGCTTTCATTGCATGGAGTTGTTTTTGCAGTTAAGCACTACAACAAAAAATCATTGATCAGTTTCACAAAAAAAATCTTATGACAAAATTTGATCATAAGTCATGTACAATTCCATATACTTACAATCAACTTTAGTCATGATATTTTGTGAAACTGATCACTGGTCTTTAAAAGAACACAAATCTTAAACAAGAATTTGTACATTTTGCAGTGCTATGCATACCTAAACTAGAAATTCAAAGTATTGGAAAACAGGAATCACGTGTCTGACAGATCTGAAAAGCACTCATCACCATCAGACTCTTTGACCTTAATATAAAGTCATTCTGTTCAGTAGTACATGTGCACTGAAGAAATGTGTGATGCAAATATTTAGTCCAGTCAAGACATTGAAAAATTCAAAGTATGGGCAAACAGGAAGTGGATGAACTTCTCAAATGCATCTTCTTGTTTCAAAAAGAAAAACTTTTAAACTCATTTAATGTCGATCTGAAAACCTTAAATTCTCTTGAGAATGATATACAAGTCATCTACATTTGATAATGGCCTAATCCTAATCACATAATTTAAAAATACAAAAAATACTCCTGTGTCTCATATTTGATCTCACTTACTTGCTTCTTGGTAAGTATCCTATAAATGCTGTTGATACTATTAACCACAAGAGACCTATAGACAGGACAACCAACCTAAAATAAATAACACAAAGACAGTGTATTTGACTCAACCAATCTATAAAATAACACAAAGACATTGTATTTGACAAAATCAATGTATAAAATAACACTAAGATATCGTATTTGACTCAACCAATCGATAAAATAACACAAAGACATTGTATTTGATACAACCAATCTATAAAATAACACCAAGATATTTTATTTGACTCAACCAATCTATAAAATAACACAAAGACATTGTATTTAACCCAAACAATCTATAAAATAACACAAAGACATTGTATTCGACACAATCAATGTATAATTTAACACCAAGATATTGTATTTGACTCAACCAATATATATACAACACAAAGATAAACTTTACATGTAATTAAATAGTTAAAAATTTGTAGAACATTGCATCTTCTTTTTGTTTCTTGTTTATATCATTCTTGAATATTTTCCTACTTTTTAAAGTGTGTGAAACCAACTTCCACAAGCATACAATACTGATAAAATAATTTACTCTGTTATAATTTTTTATCAACTGTTTAAAAATAAGAGTTTTACTTGATACATTTTGAATAACATATATACTATGATTAAAATTGATTAAATCAGCTTCACTTCAAAACCAATTTATAAATACAAACTGCAGCAATACTCAAGTAGGAGACTTGATGTTGCATGTCTCTCCTCCAACTACCAGAAAAAATCCATTCATCTGAACATATACATGTAGCAGTTTTGGAAGTATATAAACAGCTTACTTTTATTGAAAATTTTGATATAATCTGTTTGTTTTATAAAGCAGTTAAATTACCTTAAGAGGTATTAATTAAATTAAAATATAACAGAAGAAATAAAGATGGAAAACGTCTTTGTGATAATGCATCTAAAACACGCCTTACCTTCTGATGTACAAAAAATGTACTTTAATTCAAACAAATATCTCTTAAAGGGGCATTAGTTGTCAAATTCATGCTCACCAATTTGACTCAAATTCTCATATTTGATTTATAACATACTAAAACGTATATCCAAATTACAAAAAAGTCTAAAAAAAAACAATTTACAATGCACGGGCTCGATAATATGTATCAGCATTTCATGTTTATTTTAGTCTAGACGTCATCTAATTAACCATCCAGGTGACCTCTGAAGACTGCTGATGGTCATTTAACCTGATATAAACATATAGATATAAATAGATAGCGGACTCGTGCAATTGGATTTTTCTAGGTTTGTTTGATTTCATATCATAGGTTAAATATATATGTTAATCATCGTTTTACCTGCATGAGAATGATTTTTTGTGGATCGAATCAGTCAATCAACTGGTTTACCCTTGTTTCACTTTCACTGTTGACATTCTTTTCCTTTTAATAACTGAACACGCCTAATTCATGCGTAACCCATCTCTAGCTAAGGGGTTAAATTGAAGGTCACATGAATATGGATTCAATGAGGTCGAATTATTCACTTGCAAGTGAATAATTCATCAGCAATGTTTCTTAGCTTATTTTGACGAAATTGAACCAAACTGGCTGCTAAAAGCGATTATTATTTCACTTTTTCACTTTCATTAATTATTGAACAATTAATTTTTTTTTTATATCTCGTAGCTAATGCCCCTTTAAGTGATTTAACTATTACTTCAAAAAAAAAGGTACAATTATTCGCCTTAAACACAACAGCAAATTTTGAGTAAATGGAAATAAAGCTATCATATGACATTAGTATTTGCATATGAGTCTTAATAATGGAAATAATATTCAATTTGTTAATCTAAAAATTTAAACGAAAAAAAGTTGTTCATAGATTTTTAACTTACCTCACTGGCACAAGAAAACAATATCTAAATAGAAATCCTAAGCACCACAAGATAGTTAATCGAACACTGAAATTTAAAAAAAAAATGTATTCACAAATATTTCATCACAATGCATAACTAGAATATACATGTACTAATTATAAGACAATACACTACTTGCAAGCACCAATCATTTTAAGATGGCAAACTAGATAATTTTACAACTGTCAAATTATTCTTAATGTTTTAATATTGATGTTAATGTTATAATCCCAATTCTAATAAAACTACAAGAATATTTCATTGATTATAATTTTTTTAAGTAGGGAAGCAATGTAAATCACATGTAACTTATTCTAATTGATACAATTGCAGATTTGGTGGATTTTTCTTCCATTTTTCTAATGCAATAATTGCAGCTGTTACATCAAAAAGGCTTTGTTTGGTCTAATAAAAATTTAATGGCAAAAAAGTCTGAATTATTTTCTATGTATTTATGTTTTTCAGACTGAAAAAGTAAAAAAAATAACCGAACAGAAAGTAAAATATTATAACATACATTCATGTTCAGGAAGTTTGTTTGTTATTCTTCTACTCACAAGACCTCAGATAATTTAACTTTAATAGATTTACAGTAAAATATTAATTTACAACATATATCCTATAGGACATATATTTAAAGGAAGAAAATTAATATTGGAACAAAATCATGCACATAAAAGATTGAGTAACTTCTACTTTATATTTCAACACCCAAAAGTAGATGCTACTCCTATTATGAAATAAATGTACCTTTAATATAGGAAGCATGCAACATTTCAAACCTTTAATGCAAAAAAGAAAAGTAGAAAGTCACTTCAATATTAAATTTCGTAAGGGAACAGATTACAACAGATATAAACTGGTTTTGCTTTTCATGATTAAAATAAATTAATAGCCAATAGTGATTATGATACTTGAAATTTGAAATGATCATGGAACTTCCCCTAAGTCTATTTAAAGATTGAAAGGACATTAGGACATTAGGATATATTTGACATAACAAAAGCTTTAATCTTTTAAGGAAACATGTACAAATAAGTATGTAACATATCTTCATCCTTTTTATTTCGATTGTTATGCCTTTTTTACGGCTTTAAAAAAATAGTAACAAGGTATTAAAATAATTAATCTATATTCATTTTCGAAGAAAATGGGAAACTGCAAAAACTGGATGCATCAAAAGAAATGAAAAAATCAATAAATAAATCTTTGAAAAGGATGAAGGTCGCTTTACATACAGATTTAACACTTTAGATTATATCAAACTGTTAGAAAATTGGCACAGACCGCCTATATCCCAACCAAACATTGATAGACAAAGTGACAACTGCATATTTCTGAGAAAAAAATTAGGGGAGCATAACAAATTCAAAAAGATGAAGAATTTTTTTTTATTAAACCAAATGGCAGGCAACAAATATATTACTGCAACTTATTTCTTTAACCTACTGATTAGTTTAGAGGTATTCTTGATTTAAGGTGAAATTCAGGAGCAATTTTTCTTTAATATTTTTGGAAGAAATATACTACAAGAACTTCATACCAAATAAAAACTTAAAAGAAAACAAACTTATCTATACAACAAAAAACAATTACCTTAAATCCCTTTTGTTTAAAGATAAAGATAGATATACATTATAATACATTTTTGTTTTTGATCAGCTGTAACTCAGGAAGATGTATTTAACTTTTCCTATCAGAATATGTTTTGCCAATTTGAAGATGGAAAAACAATCATTGTATAAGGAAAATGTTCAGTTTTTTTTATTTGGAGAATTTTGCTTGGAAAGAAAGAGAACTTGAAATTATTGTATATTTTAATGTAAAAAAAATCTAATTATCATCTGTGTCAACAAATCTGTCAGAAAATTTGTCTTGCATTTTAAATGGTTTTCAAAGAAACTTGAATGTTTTAATTAAAAATAATGTAAAACATGTATTAATTGGGCTGAATAATTGTTGTAGGTGGAACATTGGATTACATACTCAAATGGCTGGGTTGCACAGCATGTCTCTTAAACAATTGATAATAGTAGTTTAAATACATGTTTATGGAAATATCAAATGTATTTGAAAAAAAATCTTTAAACAACTCCATTATGTTAGGTGCAGCACTTCAAAATGTGTATAATCTTTCTGTAAGGATTCAATGATCTGCGTTTAAAACTGTACAACTGCTCGTAAATTTTGCTGAAAAATGACTAAGTTCCCATGCCTGGAAAAAGGGCTTGAATTCCTCAAACAATTCCCTAATAACAGGTGCACAACACTATTGAATATATTCAATGTCATCATCTTTTATTTTACAATAGTTTTACGCATGTAGTAATGAGAACAATAAATTTCCATTTTTGTTTTGACATAGTATAATTTTATGAATACAAACCTAATAAACTGGTGACCTTGTGTAGTTCTGGTTAAAAAATTCCAGGACTTCAACTCTGCAGTAAAAATACATTTTGTTAATTTAAATCATTAATATGACTACTATATAGCTAGTCTTTGATCTTAATCCTTAATGTCGCAAGCTTGATAGAGAAGTAGCAAACACCAATTTAAGTCTTTGGTTTTACAAATCCATTAATAGAAAACATATTTGAGGCATGCATGCTTCAAAGAGACTACTAAGACTGTCTTAAAAATGAATAACTGACAACAATTACTGTAATATTAGACCCAACATGGTTTTATCTAAAACTTTGTTCTGTGGTGAAGTTCACATGATGCAATTTTTTGAAGAATTCCCACCAAAAAAAATTCCAATCAAATGAGTTGATACACTAATAGAGAACAATAATTTCATTTATCTATTTTAATCAAAGGAATATACATTTGTACCTTCATAATATGAATTTATAAGTATAAAATTATGTACAATTTTCACGAATTTCTTGAAAAGAATTAATCTTTTCGAAGAAAAGAAACTTTAAATTAGCTCTGATAGTAGCAAATAGCAAAACCGTGAAATTCAGAACTGATAAACTCTTCTTCAAACCATTTTAAAAATTATATCTACAATATTAAAGCAATCTCCAATATAACATACAATATAGCAATTTGTCAAACCATATCATCTAATACTTAAGAAGTATACTAGATATGTACCATTTTTCATAACTTAAACAGTATATTACAATAATAATAATAAAGGAAATTTCATTCTTTCAAGCTGTCTAAAAATCTTATCCAGAATTTCTAAAGAAAAAGCTTGACAACTGAGTATTCTATCATCTTCAATTGTCTTATTGGGTGTTAAGAAACCAACAATCAATCAATCAATCGTCTTATTGATTGTCATACCTTCAGCTGTGAAACACTTGGTAACATCATCTTCAATAACAGCCTGCAAATAAACAACAGATCAAGCTTTTCAATAAGTTTTGTTATTTTATGAAATTTTTGTTCTAAAGTTATATGATAACAGTGATTTCATGTTCCCTGTTTGATTCTTAAAACAATGTCACATTTTTGGTTTCTGAAATTTTTGTTCTAAAGTATGTTAACAGTGATTTCTTTCATGTTTCCTTTTTGATTCTTAAAATAATGTCATATTTTTGGTGTATGAAAATTTTGTTATAAAAGTGATTTCATATTCCCTTTTTGATTTCTGAAATTTTTGTTCTAAAGTTTTGATAACAGTGATTTGGTGTTCCTTTTTTGATTCATAAAACAATGTCATATTTTTGTTTTCAGAAAAATTTTGTTCTAAAGTTATGATAAAAGTGATTTCATGTTCCCTGTAAATCTATGCCATATTTTTGGTTTCTGAATTTTTTTTTCTCAAGTTATGATAACAGTGATTTCATGTTCCCTTTTTGATTCTTAAATCTATGTCATATTTTTAGTTTCTGAAATTTTTGTTCTAAAGTTATGATAACAGTGATTTCATGTTCCTTTTTTGATTCTTAAAACAATGTCATATTTTTGGTTTCTGAAATTTTTGTTCTAAAGTTATGATAGCTCAAGATAATTGACTAATGTGGATCATCAGAAAATAATCATAATAATAAGAGTGATAAGAAGCTGTCAATGACACAATTCCACCATTGAAAAAAGACCATATACTGTAAATTCAAAAATTGATTTGTGCACTTATTATAGTGATTATAGTGATTTTCGATTAATGGACAATAATGCGAGATTAATAATTGTGATTTCAGGAAAATCTGAATTAAGAGATAGATATATATTTTTACCCCCCCCCCCCCCCCCCCCCTTTTTAAAAAAAAATATTTCCCTCAAGATATGGTCATAATCTCAATTCAAATTTCCAATGGAGTTTGCAACCATAATTACCCATTTAAATACATCATAAAAGTCTTAAAATAGAAAATGACATGCATAATCATGGCTAAAATTAATATTCCTTAATCAGCATTTTTAATAGTAACTTCTAAAAATAAATTGACAGCTAATCACCTCAAGACAATACAACATTTCTTTATACATAATTTAAGAGCAGTGTAAGGGAGGTAATCCAAACATAACATTGTACTTGTAATTGTCCATTAACCAGGAAACCCTTGTTTTTCCCCCTTTTTTGCCCCTTATTTCTAAACGGTTTGAGCCATAACCCCCCAAAGCCAATCCTAACCATCCCTTTGTGGTATGGAAACTTGTTGTCTAATTTCCGAGAGATCCATACACCTTTCCACAAGTTATTGTCTGGAAACTAGAAAAATGCTTATTTGGGCCCCTTTTTGGCCCCTAATTCCTAAACTGTTAGGACCATAACCCCCAAAACCAATCCCAACCTTCCTTTTGTGGTTATAAACCTTGTGTCTAAATTTCATATTCTATTTACATATACTAAAGTTATTGTCCGGAAACCAAAAGTCTTCGGAAGACGATGACGTGATACCAATAGATGACCTCAAAATTTTTTGCGGTCCTATAATAAAGAGCTGCACCATGAGCGCATGATACGCCCGCCGCTTTTTCAAAGAATTTGTTCCATAACTACTCAATGTCATATCTGAAATTTATAAAAAAACTAAAGGGAGGTTATTTTAATAGATATAAACTAGTCACCAAAGTTTCATGAAAACTGCTCAAAGCACTTTTGAGTTATTGTCCGAAAACTGGAAAATCCCACTTTTTTAATGAATAAAACCCCATAACTCGTAGACATAAAATCTAAAATTTATAAAATTGAAAGGGAGCTCACGTCAATAGATATAAACAATTCATCAAAGTTTCATGAAAACTGCTCAAAGCATTTTTGAGTTATTGTCTGAAATCTGGAAAATCCCCCTTTTTTAATGAATAAAACCCCATAACTCGTCAACATAATATCTAAAATTTATAAAAATCAAAAGGGAGCTCACGTCAATAGATATAAACAATTCATCAAAGTTTCATGAAAACTGCTCAAAGCATTTTTGAGTTATTGTCTGAAATCTGGAAAATCCCACTTTTATAATGAATAAAACCCCATAACTCGTCAATGTAAAATCTAAAATTTATAAAAATCGAAAGGAAGCTCACGTCAATAGATATACACAATTCATCAAAGTTTCATGAAAACTACTCAAAGCATTTTTGAGTTATTGTCTGAAAACTGGAAAATCCCCCTTTTTTAATGAATAAAACCCCATTACTCGGAAATGTAAAATCTAAAATTTACAAAGATAGAATGGGAGCTCACGTCAATTGATATAAACAATTCATCAAAGTTTCATGAAAACTGCTCAAAGCATTTTTGAGTTATTGTCTGAAATCTAGAAAATCCCACTTTTATAATGAATAAAACCCCATAACTCATCAACCTAAAATCTAAAATTTATAAAAATCGAAAGGGAGCTCACGTCAATAGATATAAACAATTCACCAAAGTTTCAAGAAAACTGCTCAAAGCATTTTTGAGTTATTGTCTGAAAACTGGAAAATCCCCCTTTTTTAATGAATAAAACCCCATTACTCGGAAATGTAAAATCTAAAATTTACAAAGATAGAATGGGAGATCACGTCAATAGATATAAACAATTCACAAAAGTTTCAAGAAAACTGCTCAAAGCATTTTTGGGTTATTGTCTGAAAACTGGAAAATCCCCCTTTTTTAATGAATAAAACCCCATAACTCGTCAACATAATATCTAACATTTATAAAAATCAAAAGGGAGCTCACGTCAATAGATATAAACAATTCATCAAAGTTTCATGAAAACTGCTCAAAGCATTTTTGAGTTATTGTCTGAAATCTGGAAAATCCCACTTTTATAATGAATAAAACCCCATAACTCGTCAATGTAAAATCTAAAATTTATAAAAATCGAAAGGAAGCTCACGTCAATAGATATACACAATTCATCAAAGTTTCATGAAAACTACTCAAAGCATTTTTGAGTTATTGTCTGAAAACTGGAAAATCCCCCTTTTTTAATGAATAAAACCCCATTACTCGGAAATGTAAAATCTAAAATTTACAAAGATAAAATGGGAGCTCACGTCAATTGATATAAACAATTCATCAAAGTTTCATGAAAACTGCTCAAAGCATTTTTGAGTTATTGTCTGAAATCTGGAAAATCCCACTTTTATAATGAATAAAACCCCATAACTCATCAACATAAAATCTAAAATTTATAAAAATCGAAAGGGAGCTCACGTCAATAGATATAAACAATTCACCAAAGTTTCAAGAAAACTGCTCAAAGCATTTTTGAGTTATTGTCTGAAAACTGGAAAATCCCCCTTTTTTAATGAATAAAACCCCATAACTCGTCAACATAATATCTAAAATTTATAAAAATCAAAAGGGAGCTCACGTCAATAGATATAAACAATTCATCAAAGTTTCATGAAAACTGCTCAAAGCATTTTTGAGTTATTGTCTGAAATCTGGAAAATCCCACTTTTATAATGAATAAAACCCTATAACTCGTCAATGTAAAATCTAAAATTTATAAAAATCGAAAGGGAGCTCACGTCAATAGATATAAACAATTCACCAAAGTTTCAAGAAAACTGCTTAAAGCATTTTTGAGTTATTGTCTGAAAACTGGAAAATCCCCCTTTTTTAATGAATAAAACCCCATTACTCGGAAATGTAAAATCTAAAATTTACAAAGATAGAATGGGAGATCACGTCAATAGATATAAACAATTCACAAAAGTTTCAAGAAAACTGCTCAAAGCATTTTTGAGTTATTGTCTGAAAACTGGAAAATCCCCCTTTTTTAATGAATAAAACCCCATAACTCGTCAACATAATAACTTAAATTTATAAAAATCAAAAGGGAGCTCACGTCAATAGATATAAACAATTCACCAAAGTTTCATGCAAATTGATTAAAGAGTTTTTGAGTTATCGTCGGACATGTTGATGACGGACGGACAACGGTATACCATAATACGTCCCATAAACAGGCGTATAAAGACAAATTGTACTAAATAATGATATGCATAATGTTTAAATATTTCTTACCTCCATACCACACTTTGCAAAATACATAACATCAGAAATATGAAAATCTTTTTTCAGTTCTCCCAACATTAAATCTTGTCTTGCAGAATGAAATTTCAAACCATCTAAAGACACAGAGATATCTCTTCTAATTACTCTCTTCCCTACAGAAAAACATAATCACAATTTAATCATCTAAAGACACAGAAAAACAAGTGTTCAAGAATTTAAAGAATTCATACATTCTTCTCTATAATTTATGATGGCACGACAGGAGTAATTGTGATTGATTTTCATATGATGAAGATATAATCTTTTGGTCAGTTTAACTGAGGTCTGGAGCTGGCATGACAGTAACTGCAAGTATTCCTTTGTTAATTCATGTTGATCATTGTCATTTTGCTTAGTTTCTTCTGTTACCTATTCTAACATCAGACTTAGACTTCTTTTAAACTGAGTTTTACTGTGCATATTGCTGTGTGTTTGTTTATTCTACATTAGCTAGAGGTACAAAATGTAAAAGGGAGGGTTGAGATCTTACAAAACATGTTTTACCCTGAGTGCCACATTTTTCTTCAAAATAAGACCGATGTTGCATTTTCAACAGTCTTATCAAGCATGCATACCTTATGTTTGTTGGAATTAAAAATATGATTGAGACATACATGTATATTTTCTCCCAATTAGATTTTTACCTTCATCATCAATTTCTTCTCCTTCCTCTTCTTCTTCATCGTCAGGATTTTCTTGTCTCTGTTGAGCTTTCTCTATCTTATGTTGGCCAAACTATAATAAGAATATATATTACCTACATGTACACGTATTACAAATTATAGTGGATACTTTGCCCTTATATGATCTGGATGGTTGTTTTTCCTTTTTTAGGCAAGCTTTGACAAAGACCTTTTAGGTCAAAACTTTGAGACACCATTTTAGCTTTTGTCTGGTGTTTTACCATTTACCATTTTTATTAAGCAGTTGTACTGTTGACTATTTAAACTGGTAGTCCTCAGTGTTGTTTTATCTGTTAACCACCTATGATTAAAGATATTCAGACTGTCTTCACTTTCTACTGTTTATTGTTGCAAGGAATACTACTGTGCACATTAAATAACTAGTCTCATCCATTCATTGATAATTGACTAATGTGGATCATCATAATAATAAGTGTGATAAGAAGCTGTCAATGACACAATTCCACCATTGAAAAAAGACGAAGATGTGAACAGCTATAGGTCACTATGCATACCATATACTGAAAATTCAAAAATCAATTCATGCACTTATTATTGTGATTTTTGAATAATGGACAATAATGCGAGATTAATTATTGCGATTTCAGGAAAATCTGAATTAAGAAATACATGGATGTATCAGATTGCGAGTTCTTATTATTGCGATACTCACCCAGTCGTAATATTAACATTAATAAAAACCCAGCAATAATTTCTGAATTTACAGTAGAAAGCTATAAAAGGGCCCGTCAAGACAATATTTGAAATAATTCAAAGGAAAAACAGTAGCCAGATTTATGCTAAAAACAATTAATGAGAAGCAAATATGACAGACAGCATGAGCAACAAAAGACAACCACTAAATTACAGACTCATGACTTGGGTCAGGTACATGTGTCAGGGTAAAACAAATGCATGTTTGTGAAATTTTGAGATGTCAACCCGGTGAACCCCCCACCTAACATGGGACAGTAGTGTAACAGCACAACAATTACATATTAACAAACTAGAATTCAGTTTGAAATGACTTGACTCATCAGATCACAAACACCAAGTAAAAAAAGCACTGAGTACTGATTTAAGTGTATTCTCAGTCACTGAAAGCTAGTTCAAAGTAAATTTCAACTACATTTTGTAATAAATAAATTGTGTATTCCTTCAACAATGAACAAAACTCATACTGCATAGTACGCTATAAAAGGGACCCAGTGTTCTCCCCAGGCCCTTAAAGAACCGCGGGCCCGCGATGTATAATTTTTCACCGTGGTGGTATCGTTCTTACCGCGATGTATAATTTTTCTCCGTGGTGCTAAAATTTTCAGTTAAAAAATCGTAAATCGGTAAAGTTTTAAACGACTTGTTAAATCTTTTCCGAGCGGTAAAAAAATTCCAGGTGAAATTTGACCAGTCCAAACCAGTTCAACACGGATTGTTTACACCACGTGATCGATTTACCTTTATGAGGTTAACCTTTGTTGATTGGATTTAATCGATGTAATTAACACTTTTTACATGATTCTTTTGTGTTTTAATTTAGAGATCATAACTTTATGATCAAAGATAACTATTTTAAGGCTTCACTCACCACCTGACAAGTCGGCAAATACTTTGTAAACAAACGGTGTTGACCTGATAATTGTACACACGACGGTACATATTTTGTAAATTATAAAGTTAGCTCAATACTTATATTATAGTTTTATATGTCTCTGATTAAACCATGGCCAAAATTATCTTTAATTATGACATAGTTATTGCATGATATTCCGGGTTCAAACTGTCAACAAGTAGTTCAAAGGGGAAGGATCTTATGACCCAGTTAGTTCACCTAGAATATTCAAGTTTATTTACAATTAACTGCAATCTATTCTATTTTATAAATAAAATGCATGACTGTACCTTCAAACTGGATATATATATCCATATGATCATTAATGAATAACAGAAGTGATCTTGCAATTTTAATCCATAAGCACATGTTAAATCTATTTATATCTACTTCCTGTCATTTAGGCGGGAAAATAGGGAGACTTTGTTGTTGACATTGAATATGCTACTTATAGATCTATAGACCTAAGATAAATTTATAGATTTAGGAATTCTTTTTAAATGGATCATGACAAATCAAGATTTAGATTTCAGTGCAGTATTAAGTCTGTTTCTAGGTTTGATTATCACCAAAGACAAGAAAGGTTAATATTTACATGTTCATGAAATCTATGGCAAAATGTTTTAAAATTTATGAAAAATTTCTTTTTATTAAAATTTAAGATAGAAACTGGTTCAAATTATTACACAATTTTGTTCTTGTTAATTTTAAATCTCTTTATGACAGGAATCCTTTCACATACATGTACAACAACTTTCTTTCTAGAAACTAGAAAGTTTTTTAAATTGAACATTTTTGTTCTCTTTTGAATCTGGGAACAGTATATCTAACAATTTATATGTTCCTGTTTGAATGATATTTTATTTTTATTGATCATGGATTTTATAAAAAATTTAATTACTTTAAATTTAGATGAATATTGTGTAATGAATCATGTTTTATTTATTTTTAAAAATATTAAAAGTATACAAACTGTTTATTGATCTTTTTAACCAATAATATTCTGTTATAACACAGTACCACAGAATTAAAACTAAACAAGAGACAAAAAAAACTGCAGTAACTAGAAATATAGCGACGCAACGCAACACAACTGATTGTATGAATCATTTCACCAAGCTGTTCACACGCTTTACCCTGGTGCTATCCAAAAATCCTGGGGAGAACACTGGGACCGAAATGACACATGTAAAACAAATCAAATGAGAAAACTAATGGCCTGATTTATGTACATGTACAAAACAATGATTGAAAAACAAATATGATATACAGCAACAAACAACAACCACTGAATTACAGGCTCCTGACTCGGGACAACTGTGTAAAAACCTTCTTTCAAATGATAATTTGTCCACCATTATCATGATTTCTAAAATTCTGACATACAGACTGAGGAATACAACTAAAAAGTTCTATACAAGTTTGTATTTTTGTTTGATTAAAATGCCCCATTAATCAGGAGATGTAAAAAACAATCCAGAAAATACAGATTTTGATTAACTAATACTCGATGATCACAATTGTCTCCTTAAGAAAAGTTTTAGTGTTGTTTTCAAGATCATGATCGCACAATTGAGACAAGGGGTCAAAATCATGTACATGTAGTTCATGCACAGGCACTTGTTTCTATCCATGGGAAGTAGACTATCCATATATACATGTAGTAGAAGCTTCAATGGGAAGGTTGACTATAAATATATAATAGAAGTTCTTATATTATATAAGATATAGATAGTCGACCTTCCCATGGATGGAAAAAAGTGCCCGTCAGTTCATGTCTGAATCGTGAAAGTTGGCAGGTATGTTTGTTTTAATAGCTTTCCTCAGGCCAATCCCTTTTGAAATTTTCAAAATTTTAACGGATTTTGAAAGTCTGATCTGTTTTCTTATATTGATTCTAACCTGCTTCGGGCGTATAGAATAGTGCTTTAGGTGTAAAAGGCGCTGGTTGGAGGTGAGGTAGCTATATGTAGTTAACAAATATTTTCGGGAATAGACTTGAAAGGGCTTGATAAAGGATTCTGTGGGCGGCCAAATCAAAAATCGTTCCTGACTCAGAAATTTCCCAAAAGGGATTACCCTCGGGCATTAATTTGCTTGGGTTAGGAGTTTGATTGGTGTTACTGTTAGGATAAGATATGGGTCAGAGTAAGTTTATTGCCCCCCCTCCGAATTAATTAAACTTAGTTCTGAAATTTTATGGTCATTGATTTTTGAAGTTCCATATATCTGCATATATATATAGGGTTAAACTTAAAGTTTAAACGCAATAGTCTAAATTTTTTGTTTACTTGTTGAGAATCCCAGCGTAACTTACCTCAAACACTTTCAATAAGAATTGCACATATTTTCTTCTTAGACCTAGAGATTTTCCAATAGATGCTAAAAGTACAACCAATAATAACAGACAAGCAACAGGAAAAAATAAAATAGTGATCGTTGTTATCAGCAGTTGTTCCATTTTTCAAGCTTGTCAGTGATGATGATTATTCAGATACGGTCAAACGTTTTGAGAAAGAGTGAAGGTCACCTCCGGCTCGGCACTGCACACAAGCACTACATTGCTGTTTCACGATGTTGGCCACACCAGTTGCAGCTAGAAATATATCTCCGTTAATACGGGTAAAATTTGAATACTTGAGCAGTTATATCTATAATCTTAAGGAAATGTAAGATAGCATTATAGGGTCAAGCCATTCAAGGTTCTGTGAAAATTATGAGAGGACTAAACCTGGGACCAAGGACGTTTAATTACTAACACTATTTAATATATGTCCTTGCTAGGACCAAAAGATAAATTATTAGTCCCAAACTATACAAATGAAATACAGTAAAATGACAAATACAAATACGTCCTTTCCTGGACCCAAATAATTAAAAAAAAAACACAGATTATCGCTAAGTATAGCCGAATGTGTCATTGTCGTCTTAGGTACAATATAAAAACGAATCCAGGTCTGTGCGCCCAAAATCACGTTCGCTCCATTCACGTTCACCCCTTTCAAGTTCGCACCCCACACATTCGCACCCTTTTTATTGGCTTTGTGTTGAATATTTTTTTAATCGTGTTTTGGTAAGTTTGTTTTAAAATAAAGCGACATTCTAAAAACATAAACATTAAACATGCACTTTAACGGTCTCACTAATTAGCGACAAGAAGCGTCAAGAAGCGACAAGAAGAATATATTTAGCGTCAAGAAGCGACAAGAAGACTATTTTGCGACAAGAAAACATTTTTTTTTTATTAAGATTACTTATTCCAAATAAATATTAAAAGAATATGCAAAAGAAAACAATTTTAGCGACAAGAAAGTCAATATTCTATCAATACATAGATAGAAAAAGTCATTTTTATAGTAATAAAGCATAACAAATTTTTTTAAACATAGATCTAATTGCTACATTTATTTGTGATATTTTATTATTTATTATGTATTACAGCAAGTATTACGTTTACCCTGTCGTATTATGATATTAATTTTACTTGTGTTTTAGAACAATAATATATTTATCTTATAATTTGATTTTAAAACTCTCTTTGTGCAATATATAATAAACTTGCAAAATGCATTATTTGTACATCATTGTCCAGAAAATACAGACACAAATTGTGAAATACAAAGAACTGAAATCAAACAAGAGGAAAACATAATTAAAATGTGAATATTTTTCATCATTTTCTTTTGTATATTGCCTCATTTAACGATATTTATCATGTTTATGCATAGTTTAATGTTGATTGAAGATTATTCATACTCTGACTAGGATGAAAACAGTACATACATTATCTTAAACATATTCTTTATATTTAATAAAAGCTACACGATCCCTTTCTTCCTTACAAATGTTTAATTTCTTCATCTATCAATATCAGAGACATATATACACATATATGTGTATATATGTCTCTGTCAATATAATAAAAAAAAATTATCAATTTATTTCTGCCCATATATTAAAAAAAAGTAAATGCATATTTTTTAATATTTATTTGGAATAAGTAATCTTAATAAAAAAAATGTTTTCTTGTTGCTAAATAGTCTTCTTGTCGCTAAATTATTCTTCTTGACGCTTCTTGTCGCTAATTAGTGAGACCCCACTTTAACCGTACACAATCATTCAAATCATGAAATATTTCGATCATTTAAAAAACAGCACTAAAATGTTTAGAGTACCCAGGGACAGTCGACCGTCTATTCCCGTTAGTATAGACTGTCCCTGGAGTATCTACTTTATAAAATTTAACAGAGCACTTAAATATTTTTAAAAAACCCTGAAACACCACATTATACACCATTAACACACCTATATAACATGCACTAATAGAAACAGTTTATTTAAGAATCAATGTATTAAATTCAAATAACATGTAACAGTAATCAAAGTTCAAAGTCTACTGTGGTGGAAATCGTCAACTGGTTTGTCTGATGGTCAATATACAGTCTTCATCAAATCCCCCCCCCCCTCCCCAAAAAAAAAAATATTTCATTTCATCCTGAATTTTTATTAATAAAAAATATAAATATTTTGATTTATACGTCTAAAAAATTATTTAATAATTCAATCAGTATTTGAATAAAAATAGGGTGCGAACGGACCCAGGGGGCAAACGTGTGGGGTGAGAACGTGTAGGGTGCGAACATCTATAGGGAGCGAAGGGACCCGATACCTATAAAAACATTCCCTGGGTATGTTTTGGTACAAGTCAGATCGGCATCTGGTCTATTCAGCACCTATAGAAAAAGTCATATTGACACCTGGTCAAATCTGCACCTATTTTAATTAAAGTCATTTCAACGCTTAATTTTATGTTAACTTTTTTGTTAGTGTATACGAAATGTACCCAAATTGCCAAGCTGTTGTTTAATCCACAGATGAGAATAACAACAAATTTAATCATTGCAATTTAAATTAATTGGTTGTCTGCATTTCCTTACCACTTGTATAAATCAGAGACATGTACAGTACATTTGTTTCTGCAAAAATGAATAACTTTGGCACAAACCTTTGTATGTTTACTAGCAATGTGCAGTATAAACTATCCAGGTCCGTATAGTGAACAATCCCAGAATACGGATTCCGACATGAATAGTATACTGCTTTCTGCCAGTAAACATAAAAATATTGGTGGCAACTTAAATTATTTAATACAAATAGATAAGAAATGAAAGAAAAGCTACTTACACTGAGTCCCTGGGGTTTAATCATATGAAAATTAGAAGTTTTAAAATGCTTAACTGACTTGATGGCACTATCATCAAGTGAAAGTATTTAAAAAAGATATGGATAAAAACTGAGTATTTTACTTTCAACATCATGTTCACCATGGGTGCCTAATTCACCTGGTACTGATTTGACTAGCATGACTAGGTGCGGATTTGACCAGGTGCTGAAGTGACTAGAATTCGTATGTTTTATGTTAGGAAAAATTCCCATGTTGAAATTAAAATAGTTAAGGGTACACAGGTCAACTCCAGATCTTAAAGCTTACCCATGCCGTAATCTTGCTGGAACAATGACGATTTAAGTTGCCAAAAATTTTTTAAAATCCCTAAAACTCACCAGCCGACTGACTTCATAGCGAAGATAAGTCGCTATCAAAATAGGTTTAAGGGAGACAACTTGTGATTTACATGTTGCACAGGTAAACAAAAATGGTGACTGACACCGTCAAATGGAAAATCAAGATTTTCAAAACGACCGAGACTAATACTGTCGACGATTAAATGAAATTAATACAACAGCGACTTTGAACATCCATGGATTTAACATTCAAATCTATTAAAAACGGGAAATGGGGCGACCGTTTACGTTATCATTTTACTATGATTTTCATCATGACGATGTTGCATAATCACTCAGCTGATTTGTTTTCAGTTTTTTTTTATTTAATACAAGTTGACCATTTGTACTATTTGGTAGGTTAAGCGGTGGGAATTAATCTGTGAATTTTTGCTATTCATTGATAAAAATTGAAAGGTAAAAGTAAAAAAAAAACAGCTAATGAATAAGTTGATTGCAAACGTACGATGCATGGTCAGCTTGTGATCAGAGTGTGTTTTTTTCATGACCAACTCGTTAATATGAGAGATATCTTTTATAGCAGGAATATTAAATTAGCTCTTTATCAGTGAATTTATATGTGATTAACAGATATTTTCATTGAAAGGTCTAAAACTATTCATGAGAATCTCAAATTACAACTAGACATTCAATAATGTTTTACAAAACTATGACAAGAAGTGGTGATGCCAAGTCATCAGATAAACTGTGAGTCATATTTTCTGGATTTTTATGCCCCATTTATGGGCATTATGTTTTTCGGTCTGTGCGTTGTTCGTCTGTCCCGCTTCAGGTTAAAGTTTTTCAGGTTCAAGACTTTGGTCAAGGTAGTTTTTGATGAAGTTGAAGTCCAATCAACTTGAAACTTAGTACACATGTTCCCTATGATATGATCTTTCTAATTTTAATGCCAAATTAAGAGTTTTGACACCAATTTCACGGTCCACTGAAAATAGAAAATGATAGTGCGAGTCGGGCATCCGTGTACTATTGACATATTCTTGTTTAAAATAAATTGAGGCAGATGCACATGAGATTAATACATGTACATGATATACTAGCAACAAATTTTATTGAAATTTAATCAAGTTGACATTACAAATGATACGACTAAATAAGTAACAACTATATTGTCTAAACATTTTTTATTTAGAATTTTCAATATATACAATATCATTTAAAAACACTGCAAGTATATTTATTAATACATATATAAAACAATTTCCTTTATGATAAGCACAAAAACACTATGCAACGAAAACAGTAATGGAATTTCACTTCTCCCTACGCTCTCATGGAAGGAGGAATCACTTCTCCCTCTCCAAAATCCTAGGTTAGGCCCTGAGCCTACCTAGATTAAATATCTCCCATTGTATTCAGAATCTTTTGGAATGTTGTTGATGCAAAATATATGCAACAGTAGTTAACTGATGTTCATTTTCTATCTCTAACCATACATATATATACATGTACAAAACCAATTCTACTTGTCTTACATTCAAACATGCCATAGGTACTACTTTATAAACAAAAACAATTAAGTCTGGGTACCATTTGATCAAGTAAAAGTTCTTTCTTATAGTACCCAGGACAACAATGACCTGTTTAGCCCAAGTATACAGTAACCATATCTTTTAAAGTTTTCCATTTTACTTTTAATATCAGGGAACAACTATTAGATTTTCTTGAGGAAAATTTTGAAATAATAACCTGACCTGGTAAGAACTGAAAATATATTATATTGCACAATTCAGGTTTAAATTGTATATTGAGCTTGACATGCAAGATACAAATGTTTTGCAAAGTGAAGATAAATTTCCAAGCGGCACAGCTGCAGAACAAGAAATAAGCATGCATAGCAATAGGTGAAAATAAATATTCAATCCACGAAAAATCTTTAGAAAATTG